TTTTTTTTTTTAAGATCATATGCACTTTTTTCTTGGTGATACTTGTTTCCTAGTGTCTTGATAAAGAGTTAAAAGCAAAATTCTAAGAGCCCTTGCTACAAACTGCCTTGTTGGTAAGCTCAGGTCTAATATGGAAGCAGAATTTGAAAGGGGTTGGTAGTACTCACCTTCGGGAGCTTTGACTTTCTCATAGCACCGAAAGATAACAATGATGAGAAATGCTTCAGCAAGTTGGAAAATCATATAGAGGAGAGGAAAGAAGAAAAGTGGACCGATGACTTCAGGGGGAAAAGTCACATTAAGGATGGTAGAACAGAGCTGGATGTTTTGGAATCCTGTCTCCATGCTGATGGTGCGTCTGCCCCTAGGTAAAAGAAAAAGCCAACAATCCTGTATGTGCTCAGAAGGAGGGCATAAGGGAGCCAACTGTGTTTGGATCTTTGGACCTAATGTGGTCCAACGTAGGAAGATGGAAGGATTGCTTTCTTTTGTTCTTGGGCATTTTTTTTTTTTTTTTTGCCAGTCCTGCGGCTTGAACTCAGGGCCTGGTCACTGTCCCTGAGCTAGCATTCTACCACTTGAGCCACAGCATCACTTTCAGCTTTTTCTGTATATGTGGTACTGAGGAATTGAATCCAGGGCTTCATGCATGCCAGGCAAGCACTCTACCACTAAGCCACATTCCCAGCCCCATCTTGGGTGATTTTTTTTTTCCCCCAGAGCTAAGGACTGAACATAGGGCCTAGTACTTGCCAGGCAAGTGCTCTTCCACTGAGCTAAATCCCCACCCCCATTAGGAGATTATTAAAGTTGGACTCAGGGCCTCACACATAAATGCTAGATGCCCTACCTCTTGAACCACTGCCTTTGATTATTTCTGAGATAGTGTTCATTTTTTCCCCATGGGGCCAGAATCCTCCTGTTATTCCTGGACTACTGCTCTTACTTGTGCTTCCTTGTGTCATTGGGTTGACAGATGTGTGCCAGCGTGCCCAGTCCAGAATTGGCATAACATGCAAGTGCCACTGCTTGTAATGGAGTCTCAAGGACACGTTCTTGCCTGAGCTGGTCTTCCATGTATTGAGATCCCCTAGTGTTTGCCTCCCAAGAAGCTAAGATTACATACTTTTTTTTTCCTTTTTCTTTTTTGTCATGGGGCCTGGGTGTTGTCCCTAAGCTCTTTTGCTAGACTAGTGCTCTACCACTGTGAGCCACAGCTCCACTTCCAGTTTTTGAGTGGTTAATTGGAGGTAAGAGTTTCATAGGGACTTTTCTGTCTGGGGGGGCGCTTTGAACTGCCATCCTCAGATCTCAGCTTCCTAAGTAGCGCTGAATTACAGGTGTGAGCCATGGGTGCCCGGCTAGTTTAGTTCTTTTGTTGTTATTGAGTGTTGGTCATGGGCTTGAACTCTGGGCCTGAATGCTGTCCCTCAGCTCTTCAGCTCAAGGCTAGCGCTCTACCACTTGAGCCACGGTGCCACTTCCGGTTTTCTAGTGGTTTATTGGAGATAAGAGTCTCATGGACTTTCCTGCCCAGGCTGGTTTTGAACTGTAGTCTTCAGATCTCAACCTCCTGAGTAGCTAGGATTACAGGCATGAGCCACCAGCGCCTGGCTGGTTCAGTTTTTTTTTGGGGGGGGCAGGGTAATTCTAATATGTGAACTCTTACATTAATATTTTGTCTACTAGAGCTGAAAAGTCCTTATATCGCTGGGCATAGGTGTGTTGCCTGATGTTCCTACACCTTGCCTTCAAATCAACTTTTCACGCAGCAGCTGTGTTTGTGAATTGACTGGACTGTAGCCAAGGACTACAACTGCATCAGCTTGGATTACCAGAGTTGAAGAGAACTTTCCCCCAGGGGTATCCTTTGTCAAGACTAAAGCCTGGATGGAAATGGAGGAAAAATGGGAAAGGAAGTAGGGACTATTAACAATGGGATGAAGCCACCTCAGTACTATTAACTACCAGGGAATTGGGCAAGAGATGGGATCTAGATTCTGGTAGGGGGTGGACTTTGCCATTGGCTTTTGCTGTTTGATTAGACCTTTGGTATTGGCATTTAATTTAAGCTTCTATTCCCTCTCTTCCCCCCTCAATATTTCTCACAGTCTCTAATTCCTTGTTTAGTTGGTGGCCCTGAACATACTTCTAGGAAAATGCTTTGCCCAGATCTTGGGTTCCTAATTCCTTGTCCTTCTTGTGAAAGACTAGGACAAGGAAGAAACCCACGGGACAGTGAGATCTAAGAGAGTACCTACCGTTCATCAACGCAGAAGAGAGCAGAGAGAAGATAGCCCATCAGGAAGCCAATGAAAGGCATCAGGGAGGAGGTAGTCAGCAAAGGTGGTGTCATGGCAAACAGGATGCTATTGCCCACGTTGATGACAGAGAGGGCTGTAATGGCCACACAGAATATGAAAGTGATAATCATCCCTCCCTGGACAAAAGGACAAAAAGAGACAATTAGGAGGGTGGGCGTAGGAACGGGTAGGGGACGTACAGGTGGTGAATGGAAGTGTGTGTGCTGGTTTCTGCAGTTTGAACTCTGGGAATCATTTTAACATAACAATGGTGTTTGAAGTGGGTAGGAACAAGAAAAACCTTTTGTTTTTATTTTGTGATAAGCTTTTGCTGTGTAGCTTGGGCTGGCCTTGAGCTCACAGTCATACTTCCACCCTGCTGAGATTGATCAAAGGTGAGTACCACCAAGCCCGTTAGCTAGCACACATAAGAGGACAGAGATTGGGCTAAGCTTTGATCACAGCACTCTCAGGCACAGCTGCATTTAACACCTCTCCAGACAAACAGATTTTCAGTGAGATATTGTAGTTTAAAAGGAATGAGACTGGCCGGGCGCTGGTGGCTCACGCCTGTAATCCTAGCTACTCAGGAGGCTGAGATCTGAGGATCGCGGTTCAAAGCTAGCCCAGGCAGGAGAGACCGTGAGACTCCTATCTCCAATAACCCACCAGAAAACCGGAAGTGGCGCTGTAGCTCAAGTGGTAGAGTGCTCACCTTGAGCTGAAGAGCTGAGGGACAGAGCCCAGGCCCAGTGTTCAGGCCCCACGTCCAGCAAAAAAAAAAAAAAAATTCATGCATATTATGATCCCACAAAGTATTAGAGGTACCAAGAATAGACCTCTAAAAAAAGAAAGAAAGAAAGAAGGAAGGAAACTGACACAGCAGCCTGCTTGCTCTACTTTGGCGTTTCTCCAGGGCCCAAAGGCTTTGTCCCTAGAGTGTGACACTGTTGGGAGGTGCTGTGGACTTTTAAGAGATGAGTTCTCATGAGAAGACTTTCAGTCACTGGGGGTATTCCCTCAGCAGGGATTGGGGGACACTGTCCTCACTTTTCTGTCTCCAGAATGTGAGAACATAAGCATGCTTCTGTTACTCGACACCTTTGTTAGATGCCCAAACCAATGGTGCAACCTTACATTGGACTTGAACTTCCAGAATTGTGGTCAAAAATAAAACTCATTATAGTATAGCCATTGCTATTGCTCCCATCCCATGATGCTCTGTAGTATAAACATGACCCATAGGTTCTTACCTTCATGATATAGGGTACATACTGTGGTCGTTTGGTTTTGAGGATGATCCCAATGGTGCAAGGAATGAGAACCATGGCTAGTGATATCATGATGCCCTTATAGGGTATTTTGTCCTTTAAGTCTCCCTCATAGATTCCTCTGGAGTAGACGTACAAAAGCAGAGGCATCATGCCCAAGGCAAAGAAGGTAGAGCAAGTGGTCATCACGATGCTGGGTGGGTGACATGAGAAGTGTGGAGAGAAGCCATGAACAGACTTGAGTGCTTGCTATGAGCTGGGCAGGCACTATGCTAAGCACTTTACGTTAAACCATTTGAATAGTAAGCATACTTACTTTTTTTTTTTTTTGGTCGGTCCTGGGCTTGAACTCTGAGCCTGGGCGCTGTCCCTGAGCTCTTCAGCTCAAGCCAAGCGCTCTGCCACTTTCTGGTGGTTCATTGGAGATAAGAGTCTCACGGACTTTCCTGCCTTGGCTCATACTTACTTTTTGCTTATAATAAAGAAGTTGAAGTCTGAAAGAATTATGATTTACCAGAATTGCACAAGACAGTAGTTGAGGCAGGATTTAACAACCTATGACTGTCCAACTGATGTGAGCATACGTGCTTAATTGAGGAAGGAGTTATTCTTATTTTCTGTGTAATAAAACTCTGAACACCTGCCATGTGCACAATCCATTTTGAATATAATTGTGATCCCATTACCCTGACTATGGAATAGCATTTGGCCCACATTGGCTAGATGTCTGCCATGGAACAAAGGGACTAACTGGATGTAGATCCGTCGCCCAAATGGAGACAGTTAGCATCAACTGTATCAAGTGTGTTTTGCCACTTGGGGAATTTAAGTGTGAGACACAGTGACAAAGTGCTTGCTGTTTGGGAATGTTAGAGTGGGCCAAAAAGCATATAGAGAAATCAGCTGTCTGGGAGTGCTTGCAGTAATTGCCCGACAGTCACAAGATCCTGGTTTCAAAACCCCAGTACTACCCAAACAACAACAACAGCAACAAACCCCACCAAAAACCAAACCCACCATAATTAGGACTATAAAAACAAATAACATCCAATCAGCAGAAAGTATAATTGAAAAGCTAGAATAGTAGAATAGTAGAGAAGACAGCAATTACCCAGATTAAAGAAAAAAACAGCCAGGTGGCTCATACCTGTAATCCTAGCTACTCAGGAGACTGATATCTGAGGAGCACAGTTCGAAGCCAGCTTGAGCTGGAAGTAAAGCTGTGGTTGAAGTGGTAAAGCATTTCTTGAACAAAAGAAGCTCAAGGACAGAGCCCAGTCCCTAAGGCCAGCTCTCTCTCTCTCTCTCTCTCTCTCTCTCACTCCCTCCCTCTCTCTCACACACACACATGTATAATTTCATAGTTGTAAAACAATAAAGTTCAATGTTCTTTAGCATACTAGCAACAGCATGGAAATTTTTAATGCTAAAGAGATTATTAAAAATCGATAGCAGGTATTAAATAGGAAGCAATTGAAGGATTGCCTTTCCTAAAGAAATAAACACTAAATGTTATCACCTCTTTTATAAATTATATCATGTATAGACCCTCCAAATAAAGAATGTAGAGATGGGAAAAAATTTCTATTTTTTGCTAATGACAGGAATGTTTATAGTTTTTTCATTATGATAAGAATCCACAGGATTCCAAACATAATAATAGAAAATAAGTTGGGACCTGATATACTATGAAAAAATAGCAAATAATTGTTTTAAAAAGATATATTCAGAGGCTGGGAAGGTGACTCAGTGGTAGAGTGCTTGCCTTGCTTGCGTGCATGAGGCCCTGGGTTTTATTCCTCAGCACCACAGAAGAAGCTGGAAGTGGCACTTGGCTCAAGTAGTAGAGTGCTAGCTTTGAGCTGAAGAGTTGAGGCACAGTGTCCAGCCCCAGAGTTCAGGCCCCATGACCACCACCACCAACAACAAAAGATATATTCAAGCTAGGCACTGGTGGTTCAGGCCTGTAATCCTAGCTACAGAAGAGGCTAAGATCTGAGGGTCACGGTTCAAAGCCAGCCAGGGCATGAAAGTCCATGAGACTTTTAGCTCCAATTAGACACCAAAAATCTGGAAGTGGAACAGTGGCTTAAGAGGTAGAGCACTAGCCTTGAGCAAGAAAAGCTCAGGGACAATGTTCAGGTCCTGAGTTCAAGCCCTAGGAATGGCACACACACAAGACATTCAAAAAACCACAAAATCTTTAGATCTAAATGAGATGGAAGCTCTTTAATGAAGAAATAAAACATCATAGAAAAGTATGAAAGAAGGCCCAAGTTAAAGCAAAGCTGTACTAAATTCATGGATGAATGGGAAGACTCATAGAGATGGTATACAAATCTGTGTATAAATGCAATGCAAATTTAATAAAAATTCCATAATTTACTCTGTAAACTTGAAAGCTGATTCTAAAATTCAAATGAAATAGCACAAAGGCAAAGAATAACTTTTCAAGAATAATAATGTAGGATGACTTTATATTTCAGATATCAAGACTTAGCCATCATGATTAAGAAAGGGTGGTAGTGTCATGAACATAGCCACACAGACCAATAAGAGAGATTTCAGCCTGGCGCTGGTGGCTTACCCCTATAATCTTAGCTACTCAGGAGGCTGAGATCTGAGAATTGCAGTTCAAAGCTAGTCAAGGCAGGAGAGTCTGTGAGACTCTTATCTCCAATTAACCACCAGAAAACTGCAAGTGGCACTGTGGCTCAAGTGGTAGAGCACTAGCCTTGAGCTGAAGAGCTG